ACATGCAGAGAAAACCCAAACAGTAATCTTTAATTTAAAAAAGACATAACGAGATGTATTTGAAAATGGGGGATATACGTGACACATGTTTACTTTTGTTAAACTGTAATACGTGATCAACGAATGCTACATTAACGAAACAAGGAGGCCGTTAGAGTGAGGTGGCTCTAATGCCTTGGTGGCCTATGTCAACAAGCCAAACCGTAAGCCTCTAGGTTACGAAATCAGTATCTCAGGACAACGGATCACAAACAGCCAGCTAGGCGGTCCACAACCTCCTTTATTTCCTTCCACACCTTCTCTAGAGAATTCCTTTCCTTGGCTCCTGTGGAGGAATGCTCCTAACCACTTCCAGTTTGCTACTACCCAATTTGAACTGAGTTTTAATATGCCTCAGTTTACCTTTTAACACTAGAACATTCCATTTCATGATGGGGCTCCATAGTAGCGTTTCCTACACATCTGTAAAGACAGTTGCTAGAAAGTTAGAGAGACTCCAAAGTTGTATAACAATTCGATTCAGTTGTAAGTGTGCTTCTACTTGCATTCCAGGTAATTACATCTTTGTTTTTAAAGTCTGTTGATGCATTTTGAGAGAGAGAGTACACTTGCACTCAGGGGAGGGGCAGAGAGAGAGGTAGGGAGCAGAGAAAGAGAGAGAGGCAGAGAAAGTGGGGGAGAGAGAATCCCAAGCAGGCTCCATGCTGTCCATACAGAGCTCGATGTGGGGTTCGATCTCACCAACCGTGAGATCATGACCTGAGCCGAAATCAAGAGTCACAAGTCCAACCCACTGAGCCACCCAGGTGCCCCTAGGTAGTTAAATTTCAAAAGGGAAAGAAAGAAACACAAATTCAAACATCTGCTTATTTTCTATTCAGAGGCTCTGTTTCATAAATAATTTGTTCTCCATCCTTCTGTGGTCACACACACTTTCATGCTCCTTTTAATATGTATATGTGCGCACGCATGCCCGTGCACGCGCGCGCGCACACACACACACACACACACACACAGGTCCCTTTGGCGTTAACAAATGTTCTGGATGAGAAGTCGGTACTAAATCTGATGCCGGCTCCTGCAAACGGTCCAGAGCTTCGACCAGCCCAGATGCGGTGGGTAAACAGCCGTATCCTATTCTGCTATTTCCTTTTGGCCTCCCTGATGTGATTACTATGATACTGTGCCCTAAACGGAGGCCAGAGGCTGAACACGACGGCAGCAGGGGCCCAGGCCAAGGCAAGCAGCTCTGTGACCTGCAGACATGCCACATCCATCCCCGCCGCCCATAATGTTTGTGATTAGTGCTGTCTGGCCCCTCCAGAGGCAGACAGTACAGGACACTGCGAGTACTTAGTGGCTAGCTTGGAGGATCTCGAAATGAAGTCATATTAAGACTACTGTGGCCAGACGGCCAGAATTCTGTTCAGAATTCAAGAATTTTATTATCTATCAATGATACCCACAGTTAAATTACAATCTAAGAACTCTCCAACTTTTTATTTACACACAAGACCAAAACCCCACTTTCCACGGATGCATTCATTCATGTTTCCAGAAACAACCTTCAGGTTTCTCTTCGGGTCTCCCTGTCATTCTGGGTGCCGGCGAAACACGGATAAACAGGCTATGACCTCGGCCCTCAAGGAGCTGACGGTCTGATGTGCTTATTCAAGCAAGCACATGCTTCTAGATTATTACACGAAAGATACCACAATAGCACTAAAACCAGCACACGTCTCTGCAGGAAAGGGTTAACCTCGCAGGCCTGAGCTGTTATCCTCGGGAAGGTCAGCTTGGAGGGCTGGCCTTTGGCTGGCTTCTGGGATCTCAGCTTCAGAAGACTTCCCTCTGCTAGCAGCTCGTTTGCCCACCTGGGGCTCAAGACACCTGCTTTCCTTGGGGGACTCCTGACTTTCAGTGATAGTGGCAGGTTGTCGTGATGACGTGACCAAACGCCAATATAAACCCTCGGCACTGAGACTCGGATGGCCTTTTCTGGGCAGAAACACCTGCTGGAGGAGAGAGGGCTCTGGGGGGCCTCATTCAGGGACAGTGCAAGAAGCTCTTGCATGGATTCTTCCAGACGCTGCCTGCTCTTTCCTCCCTCAATGGTTCTAATGTGCATCCTTGTTGTGCAACAGTAATAAATAAATAAGTAGGAGTGCCTGGCTGGCTCAGTTGGTTAAGTGTGCAACTTCAGCTCAGGTCATGATCTTGCAGTTCATGAGGTTGAGCCCCGTGTCGGGCTCTGTGCTGACAGCTCAGAGCCTAGAGCTGCCTTGAGGGTCTCCCTCTCTCTCTCTCTCTGTCCTCCCCTACTCATGTTCTGTCTCTCTCTTGCTCTCTCTCAAAGATAAGTAAACATTAAAACCAATAATAATTATAATAAATAAAACCTTACGCAGGACTCTTCTGCTGAGTCCCCATGAGTCCTTGGAGAAAACTGCCAAACATGTATGTAGTCTTTTGCCTTTTTTTTTTTTTTTAAGTAGTCTCCACACCCAGTGAGGGGCTTGAACTCACAACCCTGAGATCAAGAGTCACAAGTTTGGGGAGCCTCAGTGACTCAGTCAGTCAAGCGTCTGACTCTTGATTTCGGCTCAGATCATGATTTCACGGTTTGGGAGTTTGAGTCCACGTTGGGCTCTGAGCTGACAGCCCGGAGCCTACTTGGGATTCTCTATCTCTGCCCCTCCCCTGCTCACGCTTGCCCTCTCTCTCAAAATAAATAAAATAAACTTAAAGAAAAAAAAAGTCACATGCTTTACTGACTGAGCCAGCCAGGCACCCCCACGCAGGTAGTCTTTTGAACCCCAAAACAAATGGCACTGTCCCAAGAGTCTACTATTTGGATTGGTATTTATACATTAGTGCCCTTCTAGACAACTAGTCAGTGAATTTGAAAGTTTGGGATAAAATGAAATTTTACATTAGGCTAAATAAATTACTTTTCCAAATTCATTTTAATTTTGACTCACCTGCCTGTACGGTTTTTAAAAACCAGAAAATCTAAGCAGTACTTAACACACACACATATGTATATAGACATACAGACACATATATATTGTCATGTCCCTGAATTTAAAAGTTTGAGCTGCCCATCAAATGGCATAAAGAGAAAAGACAGATTTAAGCCAAGGGCAACGTGACTTCTCCTAACCTTTCGACCTCAGCCTTTCATTCAAGTTATTTGGCAAATTATATGATCTTGGATAAAGGGGAAAGCCAGCATTGGGAACTTCATTTCATGTTGGCACTGTTTTCAATAATTAAATGCAGGGCTTGCTATCAGCATTACCCAAGTGTGGCGCTAGGAATAGAAATGTGTGAAAAGAAATAGTATTCCCTCTGAAGGAGATCCATCCGGCTTTTTCAGCATGGCTTTGCTCTCATTAGCTTTTTTTCCCTTAGAGAATTGAAAACCCTAGGTCTTTCAGACGGAATTAAAACACACTGAAATTGGGGCGCCTGGCTGGCTCAGTTGGTAGACCACATGTCTCTTGAACTTGGGGTCGTGAGTTGGAGCCCCAGGTTGGGGGTAGAGTTTACTTGAAAAAAATAAAGATAAAAACTGCTAAGATCACTTTTATCACATTTTCTGAATAGTAACCTAAGTCATACAGAAAACACCCAAATTTTATAGAATGATACTTTAGTAAACAGTAACAGGCCCCAAACTTCTTTTTTTAAAAACATTTTAAAATCTATTTATTTTTGAGAAAGAGAGAGACAGAGTGCGAGCAGGGGAGCAGCAGAGAGAGAGGGAAACACAGAATCCGAAGCTGGCTCCAGGCTCTGGGCTGTCAGCACAGAGCCCGACACAGGGCTTGAACTCATGAAACATGAGTTCAGGGTCTGAGCCAAAGTCGGATGCTTAACCGACTGAGCCACCCAGGCGCCCCTTCTCCCCCCACCCTTCTTTCTTTACCTCCTACCCCTATAACGTATATGCTTGATAAGGGGGCATCAGCCTCCAAATTTTTGAAGTCTCTCTGTAATTAACCTGTAGAACTTTATACCTCACCTCTTCCACCTTTCTTTTACAACGGAACAAAACGGTGGTATCTGTATGGGCACATAAGTTCATTTCGACCCATATCCTAAAGCTAATCAGGTCATTATTTAAGGGCCCCTAGTCAGGAATCCACACTTTAGTTAGTGGCAGCCAAGGCAAGCGCTTCAAATGTGTCATGTAAATCTGCACCAGAGCATTTCCCATAAGCATAAGAGGTGTCAGACCTCCATGTTGTCTGCAGAAATGGGTGGTGTGGCAGAAATGTGCTCCCTAGGGAGACTCCGCGGGATCTACCGCCCTCGCGTAAGACAAGAGTAAGAAGTGGGCAAAACCAGCAACACAACACCCCTGAGCCACGCTCTCTGTTTGGCCGGACCATTTGGTCTGGCGCCCAAGCCCTCACCCTCACCCCCGACACACCTGACCGAGGGCTCGACACCTGACCCCAGGCCTGTTTCCAAGAGAACTCTCTAGGTGGCTACTGCACAGGGCTGTCACCAACCTCACAAGGAATAGGTAGTAAATCTGTTCTCTTCTTTTTCTTTCTTTTTGCCAGCTCACTAATTAGTATCTATACAAACTCTGATCTAAGACTTGCTTTGTAACTAATTAGTATCTATACAAACTCTGATCTAAGACTCTAGCATTGTAACACACCACCCACACGCCAGGTTATGGAAGAAAGAGATCTAGATCTCACCTACCTCTCTTTGTCACTTTTACCAAAGAAACAAACACTTTCCAATTATCCAATTAGCATAAATCCTCTGGCAACTTCTCTTTCACCTGCTTCTTCACACTGGCCCAGGGCCCTATCATCTCCAAAAGCCATAGCTGTCTGTTACAGTAACAACGTATGGCACCTGGATATTTTTGACATTAAAGGAACGTTTGATAATATTTTGCAGGAAAAATAGGGGTTGGTTACCAACAATTCAAGCAGCTCAGCAAAAAGCCATATTCAGAAAATGGCAGGAGGGGGGCCCGGCTGGCTCGGTCGGTAGAGCATGTGACTCCTGATCACAGGGTTGTGGGTTCAATCCCCAGATTGGGTGTAGAGATTACTTAAAAATGAACTGTTAAAAAAAGAAAATGACAAAGTTTTCAAAGTCAATGGGTTTATTTTAGAAGCCTATTATGTGTTGCGGATAATGCAGGTAGCACAATGGAGGAAACCATCTAGCAATCCTGAGACAGACAAGTAGATAAAAAACCAGGAGGCCTGATTTGGGAACCAGGCACCAAAAGTTCTCATTTTTCACCTCTGACATCGCGGTCCACCTCCTGCTGACTCTTTGTTCTCATTTCATACGTTTGTGCCCTTGCCTTAAAAGGGAGATGCACGCTCTACTTTTTAAATCTGGAACACTCATTATATTTTCTTTCAAGACAAACTGGTCTGAGCTACTTACCCATGAACAAAAAGTCAGATAAACACGTATGCTACTTTCTGGTGTCTTACCACCTCCTACTGAGATCTTCCTCTGTTGTCTAGGTAAACGTCTTCTAGAGCAGAAGTTCTTTTTTTTTTTTTTTTTTTTGGTAAGATGTTATTTTTTTTTTTTAAGTAATCTCTACACCCAACGTGGGGCTCAGAACCACAAGCCCGAGATCAAGAGCTGCACCGACTGAGCCGGCCGCGTGCCCCACAGAGAAGTTCTTCAGATGTGGCCCCCAGACCAGCCGCATCAGCATCATGTGGAAACTTGTTAAAAATGCAAATTCTCAGGCCCAACCCCAGACCTGATGAATCAGAGGCTCTGGGGATGGGCCCTGGGTCTGATTATAAAAAGCCCTCCAGGTGATTCGGAAGGACACTAAAGGCTGGAAATCACAATTCAACCTTTGGCACATGCCTCGTTAAACTTGAAAACACTTACTACAGGTGTACCCAAATTGTCATCTTTTCGAGGGAGGAGAGGCAGATGACGGAGGATCATTGTCTGTCATGCTTGACTGGTAAGTGAAGCCGAAGCGACCATGCAAGCCACAATATCCTTCCTACCGCCGTACGAGACCCTGCTTCAGGGTCCATGCAGCTGCCGTCTCCGTCCACACTCCCCAGTTCTCAGCCACTTCTACAGCTTGCTGTGGGCAAAGCTTCCAAACACCTATTGGTAACTGAAGGCTACAGCCTCTCCTCTACACCACTGCAGAAATAACCAGGGCAGGTTAATTAAATCATCATGGATGTCCGGATCACATGGCATCCAGTGGCATGGAGGCCAGTCACAACGGTGCCACCACAGGGCTCTGAGCCCCAGTTTGAAGAATGTGCCCAGAAATTTTGGTTGTGTTTCAAAATGTGATAGAGTTGATTTAACCAGCACAGAAGAGACAGCTCATTCAAACCAAACCCAAAGCCGACCTGGAGGGGAAAGCACTCTAAGTAAGGAAAGAGTTGATTCATACGCAATTTGTTTAAAGATTTTAAGTAATCTCTCCACCCAACATGGGGCTCGAACCCACAACTCCAAGATCAAGCATCGCATGCTCCACTGACTAAGCCAGCCAGGTGCTCCAATTTTTGGCTTAGTTAATTTTTTAATAGCCTTTAGAGTAGTTTTCAGTTTATAGCAAAATTGAACAGGAGGTATGGAGAATTCCTATATAGATGGTGTTGGTTTTTGTTAAGTGCTTTTCCTGAATCTATTGAAATAGTCATGTGATTTTTCTGTTTTAAGCCTATTGATGTGATCGATGGCACTGATTTTTGAACGTTGAACCAGCCTTGCTTACCTGGGAAAATTACCAGCTGGTCGTGGTGTATAATTCTATTTATACATTGTTAGATTCGATTTGCTAATATTTTGTTGAGGATTTTTGCATCTATGTTCATGAGAGTTATCAGTCTACAGTTTTTTTAAAAAATGTTTTTATTTTTGAGAGAGAGAGAGATCTCATGGTGAGCGCGGGAGGTTCCGGGGGCGGGGGGGGGGTTGGGGAACAGAGGATCCAAAGCGGGCTCTGCGCTGACAGCAGAGAGCCCGATGCAGGACTCAATCTCATGAACCGTGAGATCATGACCTGAGCCAAACTCAGACTCAACCGACTGAGCCACCCAGCTCCTCCAGTTTTCTTGCAATGTCTTCATCTGGTTTTTATATTAGGGTAATGTTGGGCCTCAGAAAGAGTTAGGAAGCATTCCCTCTGCTTCTATCTTCTGGAAGGGACTGTAGAGAATTGGTATAATTTCTTCCTTAAATGCTCAGTAGTGGGATTCACCATTCATCTGAACCTGGTACTTCCTATTTGGGAAGGTTATTAATTATTGATTCAATATCTTTAATAGTTATAGGCCTATTCCGATTATTTCTTCTTGTGTGAAATTTGGTAGATTGTGTCCTTCCAGGAACTGGTCCATTTCACTGAGGTTAACCTATTTGAAAGCACAAACGTTTTCATAATATTTTTATAATCCTTTTAATGTCCATGGGATCTGTAGTGATGTGCTCTCTTCCACTTCTGACATTAGTAATTTGCATCTTCTCTCTTTTTTTCTTAGTTAGCCTAGCTGGAGGCTTATTGATTTTACTGATATTTTCAAAGAACCAACTCTGGGGACGCCTGGGTGGCTCAGTCGGTAGAGTGTCCAACTGCGACTCAGGTCGTGATCTCATAGTTCATGAATTTAAGCTCCACATCAGGCTCACTGCTGTCAGCAGTGCGGAGCCTGCTTTGGATCATCTGTCCTTCTCTCTCTCTGCCCCTCCTCCGCTTGCTCTCTCTCAAAAATAAACACAACGTTAAAAAATTTTTTTAAAAAGAAGCACCTCTGGTCCTTGGTTTTGTTATGGAAACGAAAGTAAATTTCCTCCACTTGTTTAGAGAAGACTGACTTGGAAACAACTAAAATACAGTGTGACACGGTTGATAATGTAAAACATTTATGAAGGGATACTGTAAAATACATCAGATTAGGGAATAGCAGGGGACGGTCCCCTACAAACATTGGAATCTGACTGAGAAGGACCAATAGGAATGGAGGCAAACAGGGAAGTGCATTCAAGGCCTAAGGACCTGGTATCCATCTTGTTTATTATCAGGTGGACTGTGTCTTCTAAAACAGTTCCTCCAAAAATTTCTATTTATTGGGGCACCTGGGGGGTTCAATTGGTTAAGCGTCCGACTTCAGCTCAGCTCATGATCTCACGGTTTGTGGGTTCGAGTCCCGTGTTGGGTTCTGTGCTGACAGCTAGCTCAGAGCCTGGAGCTGCTTCAGATTCTGTGTCTCCCTCTCTCTCTGACCCTCCCCTGCTCACCCTGTCTCTCTCTCTCTCTCTCTCTCTCTCTCTCTGTCTCTCTCTCAGAAATAAATAAGACATTAAAAGCAATTTTTAAAAAATCCTATGTACTTACATTATTGCCACCTTTTTCACTCTATTATCTTCTTTCAATCATCAGAGGAGAGAACTTTATGCTGCATTTTCATATAAAGGTAAGATATATTCAGATTTTCCAGACGCCCCTCACAAAAACTCCTTAATTTAGCTCCCTAATACCTCCTGCTGTGCATAGTGTTTGAGGAGAAATACATGAAAGATTACAGGGAAAATATGAAGATGTTCTGATGTATTTGCAGACATACTTTACTCCCAAAAGTTAGAGAGAAAGGATATTGTGCAATGGTGCTAGTAGACAGAGTGGGGAAATACCACATAAAGAGACAGTTATAATATAGTTTTATTTCCTTTCCAGAATTCACAGCCCAGTTTTCATTCTATGAAAAGCATTATTATTTCTTTTCCTCTTGATGAAACTCTCCATCATCATGTCACATATGAAAGACACATCTGAGCCTCGGCTTTATTTAGTATTTTGTTGTTAGGAAGTCACTGTTACCAATTTTGAATAGCCAAGGTATCAAAATATACTATTGCTGTCATCACCAAAAATTATTTAAGTCCTTTCTTTGGGATACTATCCTATTATTACATGACCTACAGTAAGTAAAATATTAAATGGTACCAACAAGCACTTTGAGAGATTTCAGTTAAAGAATTTACTTTTACATAATCTCTACACCCAACGTGGGGCTCGAACTCACAACCCCTAGATCAAGTGTCGCACATTCCACTGACTGAGCCAGCCAGGTGCCCCTGGGAGATTCCATTTAAAAAATAATTATATGGAGCCATTTTTTTTTTAAGTTTATGTATTTATTTTGAGGGGAAGGGGGCACATAAGTGGGGCAGGGGCAGAGAGATGGAGGGAGAGAATCCCAAGCAGGCTCCATGCTGTCAGCATAGACCGCAATGCGGGCTTGAACCCACGAACCCCTGAGATCATGACCTGAACCAAAATCGAATCGGACACTCAACCTGAGCCACTGAGGCACCCCTGGGGGATTCCAATTTTAAAAACAGTAATAATTATATGGAGCCATTTTTTAAAGTGAAAGATGCCAGCCACTCTCAAGTACTATAACAGAATGACAGTAGGAAGGAAGAACGGACTACCCTGGCTTTCTTGTTTGAAGAGTATGTGGTGCTTCACGAAACACAGGCATTCGAGGGCATTAGCAGAGAAGACTCTAATTCTAGTCTCCTGGTCACATCGTGCATCGCTGGTGAGATTTTTAACAGGTGTCTTACATGAAGTAGAGAGAAGAAATGCCTTGGGGTAGGAGGCAATTCAAGCAACTACGCAAACAATAAAAGACATGAAAAATACAGATTACTCACCTTTAAAATTATTTATGGTGTGGGGTCCCTGTAATTGTACCTATGGGTTTCCTTTTATAATCACTTAATCATCTTTCAAATGTGAAGTAATGGGCAGCCAAAAACATCATCTGCAAGGCTGCAGATCATCTGTCATTCTCTTTAATCAGACTGGACTTGACAGCCGTGATTTCTTATTAGAGAGAATTTTATGACCCCGGGTAATGTAATTCAAAAACTACCAAAATGTAATGATTTCTGGTGAATATGCAATAAAGCTATAGCGGGATTTGATAAATGGAGCCCCTGGGAATAAATTGAGTTCCTTAAACTATCACCACCATTAGCACTCCATTTGTTTCCCTTTGTTACTGATGGGAGGCCAGAATTGC